CCTTTTGCGGTTGGCGCAGAGGAGGCTGGCGTTTGCCATACGGTCTTATAGTTTGCCTGGACCGTTTTTATGAGCGGGAGTGCGATCCTGGAGGGACCCTCTGGGCTCAGAATGTCCACCATCGGGTCTTCCTGCTCAACCGTCTCCTCTGCTTGTAGTCCCAAATTGAGGGCCACCCGGCGGAGCAGGTCCTGGTGCGCCCGGTGGTCAATAGGGGGAGGGCCGGACACTGTCGTGCCCGCCACGGCTTCGTCCGGCGAGGAGGAGGAGGTCATGGCCTTTTGAGCGTCCTCGTCCTCCTGTAGCTCCTCCTCAGCGGGGCGGTCCTCCGGGGTGCACCCCCTGCCCCGAGTCTGGGACGGTGCCGGGCTCGGTGCCGAGTCCGCCCTCTCTGTGTCTGGTGGTCTGGAGACCGTGGCCTCCGCACGGGAGGTAGGGCGGCACCGTGGGGAGCGGGACCGGTCTCCTGAGGGGCCCGATCTCGAGGTTCTGGACGGAGGGCCTTGCTGATGATAGGCCCACGGCGTCCAGAACGGCCACTGTCCAGGATGGCTCCAATGTGGCTGCCAAGAGGCCTCGTGCTCTCTAGCGGCATGCCCTCTGCGGCCATATCTGGAAAGACCCGAGCCCTCTTCCGATGCTAGGGACGGTGACCTAGAGGGCCACGGCGGTGCCGTGGGGCGGTGCCGGTCCGGTGTCGGGGAGCGGTGCCGTCGGGACCGGGACCATGAGTAGCAGCGTGCCGATCTGGACCTGGAACGGTACCGTTGACCGCGGGACCGGGAGCGGCTGCGGGAGTATGGTCTTGGGAGCCTCGCCATCGAAGCGTCCCGGCGCCTGCTCGAGCCGGGCTGCTGGGGCGGTGCCAGGCTCGCATCGGGCCCTGACTGTTTTGTGGTCCGTTGTGCGGCGGGAAGCCGGGAGTCCACTGAGGCGGAGCTCGACTGGGACCGGCGCCATGAACGGTGCCGAGATGGCGACCGCGACGGGCGCATCATCGCCGGTTTGCCCTTGGATGGCAGTCGCGGCGGAATGTCTGTAGTGCGGAGTGTGCTCTCGGAGGACAATTCAATGAGGTCCTTTGCTGCCTCAAATGTGTCTGGGGTGGAGGGCTGTTCCAACAGTTCCTCCAGCCCATCCTCCTCACTCGACGCGCTTGTCCCGGGGCTCGACGGGCCCTTCGGCGCTGGAGCCACTGGTACCGGGACCTGTATCGGGGCCGTCACGGCCTTGGCCGCACTTGCGGTCTTCGCCGGTGCCGCCTTCTTGTGTGGGGAGCGCCCCCGGGCCTTAGGCTGGCCCTTCGACTTGGCCGGTGAAGAAGATCGATGCCGGGCATGTTCCCGCATTGGCGGTACCGTGGGCTTAGTCTGCGCCGCCGGTGTCGGGTCGCGGACCGATGCCGGGGCACTCCGCACCGAAGTGGACGGTGCCGCGGAAGAGGGGGGCTGTAACGCCGCCTCCATGAGGAGCTGTCTAAGGCGAAATTCTCTCTCTTTTTTAGTTCTGGGCTTGAAGGCCTTACAAATTTTACAGTGCTCCTTCTGGTGAGCTTCCCCGAGGCAACGGAGACACGACTTGTGCGGGTCGCTCACTGGCATAGGCCTGCGGCACGCGGCACACGCCTTAAAGCCTTGGGCGTGCGGCATGCCCCGCCGCCCAGGGCCGGTGCCGGGGTTGACCAAACCCCTATCACCAAGAGATTTTGGTCCTTGGGAAGAACTAATCAACTACTTAACACTAAAACACTTAACTATATTATGAACTGCTAACTATTGCTAATGGCTATGCTAAGGGACACTCTCAGGCGAGAGACAGAGTTGTTCCAACGTCGCCACGGGCGGTAAGAAGGAACTGAGGGAGGGTCGGGCCGGCAGGGGTATATATACGCGAGGGCGGGGCGCCGCTCTGGCGGGAAGGGAGACCCTGCGGGCCCGACGGGAGCCGCTGAGGGAAAAAGTTTCCGACGATTCATGCACGCGGCGCGCGCACACCTAATGTGGAATGGACGTGAACAAGCACTCGAAGAAGAACCAAGGTTATGAAAAAAGTACTAGCTCCACATTAATGTTTGTTAAAACAGTAAGACCTAGGGATTCTCAGCAGGGGTCAGGAAACATGGGTTATGTACCTGTATTAAGTGATCATTTTTCCCTTTTGAAGCTCCCTTTGTCACAGACGTGCAGTATTCTAGCAAAGTGATCTCTACTTCTCTACACAGAGGGGAGCAAAGCACCTAACCCTTTCCTAGAGCAAGCCACCTCTGCACCTGCTATTGTACTCACACAAGGATTGTGGCTAGTTTAATTACTTTCCTCTATGCTGTGAAAACAGATGAAAAGAACACTCTGCAAACGTAAATGTTCATCCTTACATCTCAGTCTTCCAAAGCAACCCATTGGGATGGGGCAAATTTGTACTGGGTATTTTAGAAGCACAGTAGGCCTTACGCAGATTCTAGCTCTGATATTTTATTGGCTCAGAATCTCCTCACTCCATACAGAAGTAAAACTGGAATTATGATTACACAAAATATAGACCTTGAAAATATTTTTTTAAAATATCAGAATTATTTGATTCAAACTGAGCCATATATACAGTACAAGTGAAAACAGTAGACATCAGTGTACTTTAATGGTCAAGAGGTCCATTTTCAGTGCAGAGAGCTAGCTGCATTAACATTAGTGGGAGCTGTATGGAAATGTATATAGTATCAGGCAGTGTCAAAATTATAGGTAGGAATCTAGAGGAAAACTACTTCCCAGTAACTGGATTTCCCACAAGCTAGTATTTTCTATTGTTACACATACATGTCACTATACCCTTGTGTAATGTATAACTTTAGGAGTCAAACCTCTCCAATCATTTAAAAAAAGTGAATACACATGCCTTGGAGGGAACAGAGGAAAAAGGCTCATAACTTTATCTCAGCTCCTGTATAGCTACTTGTCTAGCAGCAGTGTAGTGGAGAGGTATCTTAAGTGGAAAAACAGGGAACTACAGGTGCTTCTGCTTTCAGAGAATTCATGTTAATAATAAGTAAATTGGTCCTGCTACTTCCCAAATACACCTCTACCCCGATATAACGCTGTCCTCGGGAGCCAAAAAATCTTACCGCATTATAGGTGAAACCGCGTTATATTGAACTTGCTTTGATACGCGGGAGCACGCAGCCCCGCCCCCCCCCGGAGCGCTGCTTTACCGCGTTATATCCAAATTTGTGTTATATCGGGTCGCGTTATATCGGGGTAGAGGTGTAAATGGAATTTTTTTGGTGTTCATTTTTAGGCATCCTATTTTCCTGCTTTGGATTTTTCTGAAGTCCCTTTTCTTTAGAGTTTTGCTAGTGTTTTTTGTTCTGTCCTTTCCCTCGGTGTGTCTGGAAGGACCAACTAGTTACAGGCTATTATAAGGAGTTTAGACTTTCCTGAAGAAGACAAATATAGATACTGTGGACTGATTGGTACCAAATACTGATGCAGGCATTTAACACAGTTGCTGATAGCTGGCTGTTGGAGCAATGGCTCTGCAAAGTGTTTGTGAACTCTATTAACATTAGGTATTTTTTTCTCTTTAGGATCAATCTATAGACTATTACTATTTCTACATCAATCTACACATTCAAGGTGATTTACCTAATCAACTAATTACTACCCATACATTTTCTTTGTGTGTCTATTCCCATAAATATTGTCCTCTACTGGACATTACATCACCCATATCTACTCAGGTGTGCTCATGTTATCCTCTGATGACTGCAGCTTGGAGAACAATAAGGAGGGCAAAGAGGGAGAGATATAGAAGAGGGAGATGAGATGGAAAGAAAAAGGAAGGCTGGGATGGGGAAAAAGCAGAGGTAGAGAGGGGAAAAAGAAAAAAAATAAGATGCAAAGAGTTATAGGGAGGAAGAGAAGAGAAACAAACAGAAAAGGGCAAAGGTGAATGAGAAGATGGGAAGAAACGACTACTGATGATATCAAACTCACTTACCCATGGACTATCACCAGCTACTCATATACAGTAGTATTACAGCCAAGCATGTAGGGCAAAGGTGGGCTTTTTTTTTTTTGGTATTTTTAATATTTAACGAATTTGTAATTGGGAGGCAGAGAGATGCTCTGGGGAAGGCATAACATTTCTTAGTTTTTCATGACTTGATTTTTGACCTTCAGCTTTACTCTCCGTGCTTTGGTTTCTCGATCTGTAAATTGGGTAAAATAACTACCACCCAGAGTGTCATGAACATTAATGTTCACATATAGTATATTTTGGGGAGGGAGGTGGTTTTATTCTGCACTTACCCTTTTGAAGGGATATAAGATCTGTGGAATGTTTATGTTGGGGTTTTGTCTCTCCACCCTGGACTATCCCTTGTTGTTTCCTTAACATTTTATGTACTTATACTGTACACTGTGTTTTACATACACCCTTGCTGTCTTAGGGACTGATCTTGCTGCCCCATATCATGTGAATAGGGATTGCCCCCAACTAACAGCTGCAGGATTGGGCCCTTAAACAATCTTTATCCTGAGAGATAAAAACATACACTACCACAAATAATGTGTGTACTTTTTAAACTAACTTGGTATCTGAACCTTTGGATATGACTATCCACATCAGGCCTTCCCAGCGTTTCTCTACTATCTCCTTTTTGAGTTAGAACACAAAATTAAATTTCCTGTCAATTAAGTAAAGACAGTATTACTGAGAAGCATTATCTTTCCTCTTATGTCTTATTTCTCATGCCTGCATCACACAGAGGACATATATTCACAATGTAAAAGATGACAGAGATAGCAACTGTATTTGAGTTTTTGTGTACAAAAAAAAAAAATTAATAATAAATAAATAAATAAAATCTCCCCTCCCCCCCCCCCCATTAGCATTGGTGTGTTTCAAGTATGAGACAAGAGTTAATAAAATCTCTCTTTCAAACTATGTAGGCTAAAATTCCCGCTGACATAAAAATGCAGAATAATATAAGCAAGCTGCAAACATACTGGTCCTTCCTTAAGTGAAGCAAGCACTTCATCCCACAGTTTCTGGTTCAGACAGTCTTCTCTTATCAGCCACTGCTGTTGCTGGGTTAGCTGAAAAGCCTCTCCTTTCCCTCCATCTCCCATTCTCATGGTTTTGGATGTGTTTTTAGGCTCCTCTATACCTACTGAAAAATATTATCAGCAGACACAATAAGAGCAGAGTATTAGTTTGAACTATTAAGAAGGGAACACAAAGCATCTACAAGTCTTAAACAGGAATCTTATTTGTGAAAAACGGTAATAATTTTTTCCTATTCAGCTTTATTCTGGACTGCAGCACAAGGCTACACATAAGACTGTTCATTTTTTTCTTTCTGAAAAAATAGAAAAAGTGTTAGGAATGGAGAGAAAAATTATACAGTATTTTCTTTTCTCGTACAGTTTTATCCTTTCTCCCCTGCCCAGCACTGAACAGGATCCTATGAGGACCAACCTCTCCTTTACATTTAGTTGAACACTTGCTTCACTAACACTTTTTCTTATTTCACATTCTTATCCCAAATGGCTTCCTGTTTTCTTAGCAGTTTTCATATTCTTGACTTTAAATATATACAACTTGACAGAACTCTACCTAGTGTCAAAAAAATAAAAAGACATACCATTATCAATTGACCGTTTCTGGTTTCCATTGCTCTGTCTGGTTGGCTCCTGTTTCACAGTTTGCTTTTTAACCTTATCTTTCTTCTCTTTACTAGCCATGGCTTCCAGATAACCTTCTGGATACTAAACAGAAAAACAAAGATTTATTTTTTTAAAAGATAAAACAAAATCTGCTGGAATATGGGGATGTCCATTTCCAAAGAAAACTTCAACCACAAAACCTACACATTGAAATAATTTCAAAGGACTCACATAAGCAAGAAAATGAAGTTACATGTGTAACATCTATTTTTAGGGAATTGTAATTCAGTCATAAAATCTGATGAAGCTTGATGTAAAAGGGACCAATCCAGTGAAAGATATCCATGGCCTTCCAAACTCCACAAACCACAGAGTTAAAGCTGAAGATGCTGATTCTGTGACAAGGTAATCCATCCAAGGAAAAGGTTGGCCTGTTGAGAAAGGCAATACTGCCTTGAATCTTCCCAGCTCCAGAACAGGGAGTTGGCAAAGCTACTTGGGGGGGGAGGGGGGAGGGAACTCATGTGAAATGAGTTTCCAGTTGCCCAGAGGTTCTGCAATCCTGAGAGATTGGCCTCTCTGTGGGAACTCCACAGTCATTGGGTACAAAGTTGGGAAAAATAACAGACACAGGGACATATTTTTTTCAAAGTTATCAGGGGAGATACATTTAAGGCTCCATTTAGCAACAATGAAACAACTCATATGAGTAGTATTCAAAATGAGAAATAGTTGTCCTACCGGGCTCTCAAATAGTGACAAACACATAAAAGCAAGGTAATTCAGTGTTCAGGCCCAAAGCTCCAGCCATAATTCATCCTGCTTTGCCGAAATATTGCAATGTTTTCTAAACTGCTGGAAATCTTAAATATTTTGTGAGCTTACCACAATGAGTATGTGAAGAATGGGGATGGAATTTAACTGACTTTTTTACTATTAGAATTTAAGTTAGACTCAACTTATTTGAATAAAACGTTGAAACAAGTTTGTGAATTTAGATTCTAACCTGTACATTCAGACCCAATTTCTTTGACCGTTCTATTCCTTCTGAGGTCCAAGGCGCAGGTTCAACATCATCTCTTCTCAGAAGATAACGCCAAACTAAGAATCCACATTTTCCAATTTCTGGCCAATATTTCACCACCTAAATCACAATAGTTCCAGTACTAGTTTATGCATTTTCTCCAACAGCTTATAAAATTGTGTCATACTAGGTCCCCAAATCAAATTCAAGCAAATCTTGCCAGAAGTTGAATGTTCTCACTTCACTGGATTTTCATTATTTTACCATAAACCATCAAACACACATAAATAGTCATACTGTATATAGATCAAAGAGAACATAGCAGACTTGATTCATATTATATACACTACAGTTTTAAATCTTCTTTTCCCTCCACTGTCAAATGGTTATTTCGATAAATGTAGAACAGTATGTTCAGTGATATACATTCTTATGCTAGATGCTAGGATTTTAAGAAGTGTGTGAAAGACTTTTTTGAGAGGCGTGGGGTTAAAAAAAAATCAATGGATTCCCAGCGATCAGTTTGGTTCTGTCCATGTTTGTAAAAATAGCTTATCTACTCAGATTGATAGATCCTTGTTATTGACTATGTTCTACTACTGTTTTTTTGCTTTGAATACTTTAATTTCAAATAGTCTTCAATACAGAATGAGCTAAGCTACATAATCTTTACTAAGACACCATGATCACTTTCTTCCAATGTAATAATAAAGGCTATGAAACATTAGAATCTGAACAGCATTTTCCTCTTAAAATGCAATAAAGTAGGTAGCAGAAAACTGTGTACCTTATAAATGCCATCATATCTATTGCCTTCCTCGGGGGCGTATTTGCTGATCCTTCGTCCTTTAGAACTGCGCACCACTCGAACTGGTTTACCAGCTCTCCAATTCTTAGACTCTGCTCCATTTTTATCATCCAATGGAGCATCACAGTTTAGGGCCAGTGCCCTAAAAACGTATTAAAAAGTCTTCATATAATATAATGCATCATAAAATATAATGCTCAACATGAATGTGACTAGGTCACGCTTTATTTGCCTTCCCAGATTATGCTTTCACCATCTAGCAGAGGGATAGATAACCAGATTTCTAGTAAAGTCCTCCCCAAGGAAGTGGACTGAGGCCAGAAGTGACCATAGGAGTTTTCTAGCATCCATATCAGTAACAGCTCTGCCATGCATGACAGGGGGAAAAAATGGAAACGTGGGATTTTGTTTTAAGTGTTCAAGTAGAAAACCTTAGGGATGCTAACAGGCAAAACATGATGGCATGCAAAAAGCTGATTATTTATATTTTAGAATAGTGATTTCTCACATAATGTGGCAGGAATGATAAAATCTGAATGACCAGCTATAGCTAAGGCAAAGTTTATATCTCCCTATTCTTCCTTCCACATCATTTCAGGTTATCAGGATTCTAAAGTGGCATCTTTACCAAAAACAAATAAACAAACAAAAAGTATGGGGAAAAAGTAAAATGTATATAGGAATTAGTATTTTAGCCAATAAACAAACACATGTGAAGATATAAAACCAGTCAAATAGTCACATCTGGAAAAGGTATGCAATAACTGTCCAACAGATCTCAATAACTAAAGCATTACTTTTCTTTGCCTGTGAAACTGCCAAAGAATAGGTACTGTGTGAGCAATAACAATTTTAAGGTTAGGCCACTAGCCATCTATTGGATTTCAGAGCTCAGGCTCCAGCCCGAGCGGGAATGTCTGTACTGCTATTTTTAGCTCTGTACCACAACCCCACGTCAGTTGACCCAGGCTCTGCAACTCACTGCCATGGGTTGTTTTTTTTTTTTTTTTTTGCTGTGCAGATGTACCCGATGAATAATACTTTGAAAATTTTTCATTATCTCAGGGTGAGAACCTACAGAAAATAAACTAGTTTTCCCATAAAGAATTCATCACTGTTTGAACTCTAACGAAGTTTACTAATAGATGTTTGCCCAGGACTTCTTGGCCACGCCTTCACAGTTTGTTTGTTTGGTTTGATCAGCGGCTGTGCATTAACACTTTGCTAGTTTGCTTTGGTCAAGTCTCATTTCAAAGAGGACTAGATCAAAGCATACTAATGAATTGTTAACGAATGGCAGCAGAGTCCATAACGTTATTGTGACCATAGTGAGAAATTATCTATTTTTTACTTTGCCTCTGCCATTAATTATGCATTATTTTACTGTGACAAAATTGTATCAATTGTCATAGTATGAGGTTAATGTTGAAGAGCACAACTCACTTGGAATATCTTTTTAAAAAAACAGTTTGTAACCTATTAGCAGCCTATTCATTAATTATTATTATCTAAGTGCACCCTAGCCATGAAGACTACAATTTGTCATAATTGCACGTCACTGTAGCTGAACTATATCAAATTCTTGAGGCCAAGTTTTCAGAAAGAGTACTAAGGTCTACGTGCAAAAAAGTCATGCACTGCTATGCGTACAAAAAGTTTGTGATCAAATGGTGGCTGTTCAGATATCTAAGTTGCCTAATGCATGAACCTAAGTCTTCTTGTTCTGAAAATTTGGTCCCTTATGTTTAATCACCAGAGAAGTCAGGTTAACACTCAGAAAAGAAATATGGTGGAATTTCCCATATGAACTACTATCTTATTAAATTCAGAAGATGCCTTTTGAGGAGATGCAAAATGAAGCTTCTCAGTGACTTTAGGTCAGTATAAGATGTCATGTATTCATATACAGGCGAATGTACAGGATTGGATACTGATCACCTTTCCTGAATAACTCTGCCTAATCTTGTCCCAAAAACTGGTCATATGTTATTTGACTTTCTTCTGTACATAATAAACATGCAGCCATGTTCTGTGAAAAACTGCAATACTTCAGTTTGGCAACCCGGAATACTTAAAAGAAATCTACTTATATGAACACCGACTAGCAAAACACAGATAGATGAAATTCCGTCTTTACAAGAATATCTGGATCATCATCGCTTTAGTGAGGAGTCCAGGGATAAGGGCTGACCATTTAAATGCATTGCTGTACTTTGGAAAAACTGATGAATCATCAAAAAGCAGAAATGTTTTTTGTTAAAATCACAGGTTAGTAGGCTTCTCTTTCTTCTTCAATGCAAAAAGAAATGTTTCTGGATGTACTGATTAAATGACAGAGATCCTTCACATTGAGTTTTGGTGGAGATATGAAAAGGCTAATGTGAAAAAGTGCAGTTAAAGAACAAGTGAAAGCATTTAATGAAATCACTCAGGAGAGCTATAACAGATCTGTTCTCCTGCTTGCGAATGAAAATCAACTGACAGGGCACTGATGCACTCCATCAGAGATGATGTCATCAGAAATTCCTTTATTACCCTGTGCTGGTTGGGGAAAGAATTATCATGTTGCCTGGAATCCTATGTAAATAAGGTAAAGAATGGTTGTGAATTCTAAGGAATTTTGT